AGTCGAAACGTAAAATAATTTATAAATGGCATCGTTGACATTTGTTCGTTTCGTTAATGGAGATCGTGTTGTCTGCTGAAAGGCAAATCGATTTTTTATGGCGATACCATTTTGTTCATATTGTTCCACTGTCGATTTAAATTTAATATTGCCCGAAAATTCCGTAATTTCGCATAACCGGGACCACTCTTTACGGAAGCGAAACGGAATCGCGGATTTTATTAAAATTGTAAATGGTAGATTATACCTCTCGCAGAGCAATAGAAAATGCGAAGTTCGCATTTGTAAATATTTATGTAATTTTCTTTTTATTGCACTTTTACCAACTGGCAACGTGAGGATTCAGATCGGCGATATCGAAAATTTGTTAAGCAGTGTAAAAGTTATGATGTAAAAAATGGTCACAACATTTAGCATTTCCGGAAAAAATTGGTACAGGATTAGGGAGAGTATAAAAAATCTATATCAAGGAACCATTCCAGAAATAAATGGTTGCTGAGGAGGAATTAAACGACCTGGAGCCTTGGAAAGAAAAGTTCAGCGAATTACCACGACGAAATGAATAAACAGCATTTTGATCAATGGCCACGATAAGTCTTGGGAGTGATCCCTCATAACTCAATTATTGCACTCGATCAAACACTTTCTCATACAATTTTGGCCCCTGAATTTCGAAATCCTAAAACTTAGTGGAGAGAAGGAGATGCAATTGACTGGTCAAGTAAGCGATTCGATACGTTCAATCAGATTATCAGGGTTTTACTTCTGGAATTATCCATAATTACACAAAAACAGTATTTGCCTGAGGAACTAGTAGATATAAAAGATGCAGGACAGAAAAAATAACTTGCTTTCGGTTATGGCTGTTTCAGCTATCTCGTTCCCTCACAATATGTCACGTTCTGGACCCCTTAATAATTTTTATCAGTGATTATGGTTCATGATGTATCATTCTTAATTTTTATTTATTACGTACGTACAAACATACTTCATCTCTTATTCAAGCGAAGCCTGTCATTTTTTTGCGATCACGTTTGTGTAAATGTCCAAAAGTATATCGACGTATGCTTAAACATTCTTCCACATACCGCGTGCCCCAGGTTTAACGCACGCATAGGCAAAAAGAATTAATTTATTTTTTCGAGAAGGATCCAGGAGCCCTTTGATACGTATTTGAATATATGTATAGAATTCAGGGGAGGCTCCTGTCGATAGTGTGAAGGATTTTCGGGAAGATGTTTATTTGAACTCACCCTGTACATATTATTAAACAGCAATGGTTCGCTTTATTTGTAGTACCAGTTGGAATCACGTTGCCTGCAATATTTTTGGGAAAAAAGGTGAGGCGACGCCGAAAGATGCCTTTCCATTGTTGAGGACAATGGATAACAATTTTGCTGTCATATACGAAATTATTTTTGATGCAAAATGCAAAGTTCTTGTGTTCTAGGAACTTTATTCTTCTACAGCTCTGTAAATTTTTCTAATTCTAAATATGAATTTAATCATATCATAATTTTAAATTTTCGAATTTTTTTAATTTTTAAATTTGTAAAATTTTTCTAAATTCAGTTTTCAATTTATAATCCCTTTAGGAACCGTTGCGCCATCTGTGTATTTCTCGTGCAAGTTCGCTGTAGTTGGTCGAGTGTTTATTTCCTAGTTTCCTATTCTTCCGCTAGAGGTCATGATGATTCACTATTTTAAATTTGTTCCCCACTCGTCTTAACGCTTGCGTGCCTGTACTGAAGAACAGATTCGATCGTGACTTGTAAGAAAGAGGAACACGCTGTCATATTGGCTTTGACAAATTTCGTCATTATCTTTAATAAAGGGATTGAATAGCCCTGTGATATTTTTGGTAAATCTTTTCTCTTGTGATTGCGCTTCATTGACGCTATTGCGGATTTTTGAGCTCATGTGATGTTGCGCAATATTTGATTTAACACTGATTAATCCTTTTAGGCTTTTATTTTTCATTTGCTTATTATATGCCAATTATATTTGTCATATGAGACATATAAAGCAGCCTATGAAGCCCTAGGGCATAATGAGAGGGCATAAATATTGATGGAGTTATATTATGTAATCAAAAAAGATGTTACTTGATTCGTGTGGAGCACTTTAATGTTGGTCAAACAATAATCATTACATTTGTATATTGGAAATGCATTAGTTGGAATTATGAAAAATAAAATTTTGTATGCGCCTCAGGCATTTCTCGATATTAAACGCTCGGGCGACTCACAATCCCTCGGGCCGGAGGCCCTCGGGCTCTGTCACCCTCTGCATAAATATCGCCTTAATGACCGTGATGCATAAATAACTATTATTTTCTGGTTTATTTTCTTTTCTTCCTGTTACTTTGTTCTTATCTTCTTGAATATACGGGTTTATCCCTTTTTTTGTAACGTACTTTTGAATTTAAATTTTGATTTTGAGTAAAACTCATATATTTTCAACTACTATTTGTTAACGTTTGGAAACCATTTGCTATATTTTGTATTTTTGAATTAAATAATCGACTGATTTCAGTTATTCTCTGACTACAGTTATTGTTTATGGCGTTTATGCTCAACCCATTTAATTTATTCACGTTTTAGCTTTATCAAGAATGGAACAAGGATCTCATAGTGTAGCTTGTTCCCCCTCAGTAAGTGTTTTCTGTCTTTTTTTTAATTTTTTTATAAGCCTATGTGGCGCCTATCCGGTTTTCTTATCTATTCTTGCTTTGTTGACTGGCCGTAGAACAAAACCCCTTAACCACACCAACCCATCTCTAGTTTGCCTGAGCTCACCGTGCTTAACTAAAGGTAATTTCGGATTTTTTAAAATTCCCTTTTGACTTTTGAAACTCTTGCAAACATTAAACAACTATTGAAAAAGCTTAGCGGTTTCTAAATATTTTTATGTGCGAATCGTAAGTTACCAATTATAAATGACATTTCTATGACATAATTGTCATTTTAAGGTAGGTAGATTTGGACTATTTTTTGTTTAGTCGAATTATAATTTGTTTATTTAATGGTAAATAAATTACGTGTTATAAGATAAGAAACATCTTGAAATTATTTGCGGAATATTTAGAAAGTTTATCTCATGTTTTTCTCCGGTGATAGATAAGAGCTTATCGCTAAAAACTTTGTCCAGTGCGCATTTCATTGCGTTGCTAGTAAACCTAGTCAATAGTCGCGTGAAAATGATGTGAAAAAGATTTTTGTGCTCAAAGCGTCACGTGAGAAGACCAGAATATCGTCAATTATAGGAACAAAACGTTAGGCTTCGGCCGTATTAGAAAAGTGGAGCTGTCGTATTTTTAGAATACCATCGGGTCTAGTAAAGCTTGGAAATCAGACAAAGCAGGTGATTCTGGAATTATAACTTTGACACTGACTTGCAGTTAATCCGGCAACTCGAATGCATGTAGTGGTAGAGAGATCGGTTACACTTGTGTAAGGCGTTGATTGCGGCAGTTCAGGGCAATTCAACAATTAATGGGAACGGCACACTACCATATGTATCATGCTGGAATTAATTGCGCCATGTCACTCATAATTCCACGGAATCGACGCTCGGCGGAACAGTTTCCGAGGAAAAAAAAAAAAAAAAAAAAACAACAAATGTCAGAGTGTGTCTAACAAAATTTGTGTTTTAACTACGGTAATTACGAAGCGAAGATTATATTCAGTACCACGACTTACCTGCAGTAATCATTTCCGGTGAGGTTATAGATCTTATTGACAACGCCCATCGCGCCACCGCACCAGCAGTTTGTTTGGAGTTTGATTGGAGGATGAATGAAGTGTACTTCTATTTAAATAGCCGAAGTGTACGAACCCAAGAAGCAATCCCCTGTATCGAATTGAAGAAAACATTTCATTACCTTATGTAACAACCTCTCAGGTACTTATGGGAGAAAAGGATAAAAAATTCCACTACTCCTACAGTATACAGGGAGATGCACGTGCTCCGTTCAGTAAACGTTTTTAAACTTGCAGTTGAAATAGAAACTTGACATTTGGTTCACGGCCATAATCGATCATTGCGAATTGAAATAAAACAATTTCAAGATGGCGCCGATTCCGTAAAATAAAAAAAAAAATAAATAAATAGAAACATATACCATTTTCTATTTTTTTTAATGCCCCTTTTTATTCTGAATCCAACGAATTTAAGATTTGCGTACCTATGTGTCAGTACTTTAATATCCGAGTCAAGTAATGTCATTTTACTGTCGAGTTTTGTATTAAATTTCAACCAAAATCGCCATGAAACCTTCATTTTCATGCCCACTTTATATCAGAAAATTTTAGTTTCCATGACAGAGGCAAAACAGACTATTTCCCCTTCCGCCTGTCATTTTACCTACCGCACCTGTCACATTGCTAAATGTCTATAATGACTCCTGTCATCACTGACACATTGACATTAATTAAAAGTTCTATATGAAAATTGAAATTTGGTATTAAAATACGATTTCGGGTAAATAATTTTGTTTAATAAAGGTTAATGTAGAAGTATTGATCTCGGTACCAAAAGGTGATAATTTAACGACTTATTCCACGTTTAACAAAGCCGAGGATTAAAGAATTCCTAAAAAAAATGATTATGGGCATAATAACTACTCCGGAGGATTGCAGAAATAAATGTATATACTTACGAAAGCAATCTTTTGTAAACGGGGTAATTTTACCCCGTATACAAATGAGCCTCCTCTCAGAAACATTTTAAAAATCATGTTCATCAATACCCCTTAATGGATGTAGCTCAGAAATCTAAGGAATAATTAAAACATTATTAACGTTCAACAATGAGAACGGAGACGATCGGCGCCTTTCTAAGTTGGCCTCCACAATACATCCCTTGATTATAATTACACCCCTTAAAACCGTAATTTACGTAATGCTGTGTACCCGATTTTAATCTACAATAAAACTATTACTTGTGGCGACAAGATGGCGAATTATTGGCGTATATAAGACACGAAATTGTCTAATCTGCATCAGTGTTTCATCAGATTCAGTTAATGGTAAGTCATTTGCTTAGAAACGCAATTGTTGTATGTGGTTCTTCCAGATGAAATTGTTAGTAATATTAGTGGTGGCTATATGGGTTCACCGGGCTCACTCTCGACGTCTGGATGACGATTTCGACAATAACATCTTAGGGAACCCGGTGGGGTTGGGTATGACAAGTGGAGTTCAACGCGATTGGGTTCGCATCAGCCAATCACCCCCACAGAGTGTTAGTCAATCGGTTGGTTCACGTGTCGAGTTGGAGTGTGAGGCTATGGGATCACCGGCTCCCGTCATGCAGTGGCTCAAAGGCAACACACCATTAACCGAAGTATTTCTTAATAGGCAATTCTCGACCCAATTTACCAACCTTGGTTTACAGAATGAGAGTTTCGAGACCAACGCAATTAACGACGTCCCATCGCACGGAATCGCCAAGGCGAAAAGTCGACTGGTAATCAACTCTGTTCTTCCGATCCATGAGGGCACGTTTACGTGTCTGGCCGAGTCCGGTTCCGAAATTGCGTCAACGAAAACAAAACTCTACGTTTCCGTACACCATGGAATCTCCGCAAGAAACATCACCAAGCTACTCGCAGGCGGACTCTTAGGCTCACGAAGTCCCGCACGAATCGTCCTCTTCAACACAATATATTTGGATAACATCGGTAAGGGCCGACGCTATCCGAACCGGCTAAAACTGTAGGTGTTACAGGAAACCACATTGAGTTACCGTGCAAAGCTGTAGGCAATCCCATCCCCGACATCATCTGGCTCGACCCATCCGAAAGGATCATCAATCCGGCAAGCGACGGCCGTATTTCCGTCTTGGGCAATGGCGAATTGAGCATACGCGGCATGAAATGGGACGACATGGGTGTCTACACGTGCGTCGCACGTAATTCAGTGGAACACGACAGCATCTCCACATTTGTATACCCCATGATGGTACGTTTCCCTTTCCTCCAACTATAAAATATGTAACCATGCATAATTGCAGGCTGAAAAATAACCTTGCCATTGACGTTCTACATCTCCAGTCATAATTTGAGTATTATGTAACTTATTTTTCGTCAATATATTTGTTATGCGCATCCCTGTGCCAGTTTGTAGGAATGCTTTAATTAAAAAAAATGTGCAAAAAGGGTATTTCTGCTGCTGCAATCAATTGGAGGGGAAAATAAAACTAATAATTACTTGATCCCGTATTTTGTAATACGACTGATACAACTTAACAAAAATCTATAGTTTTAGTACTTAAAAAAGTGACGATGTTTGTGTCGTGTTGTTGCAAAACCAAGTTCTTTTAACAAATACCCAACCCAGTGGGGTTTATTGGACTTTATTGAGTAATAGTAAATTTTTTTGGTGGATATATGCTGTTTGCGCCGTATTGGGAGCTTATAACTCAAAAAAACCAATACCGGATTTAAAGCCCTCTGCTGTGCATTTTAACTTTGAAATTAATTTCCAAGCCCAATTTACATGCATGAGTACACAGTAGGTTTTTGATCTGTTTATGTTCTGGTATATCGCAGCATTATCGTTTTGTTCCTAATATGCTTCTTATTTATCTATTGGTAAGAACTTTTCATATGGATTTTGTAGGTAGCGACCTTTCTTCTGCTTCTGCCTGAAACCACCGAATGGCTGGTCGATTATATTTTTCAACGATCGCGAACTACTCCGTGACTTTGTTTCGTTCTGGTCGCACTTATATCTTCCCTGACGCAACGCGTAATGCTCTTCGGTTATCTCCCCCCACTTAATTCCCCATCCAACTTAAAAACATAACCCCCAAAACAGCTGCTAATTTGATCTACCAATAGAATCTCTCTGCTTTATACATCATATCTCTAGAAAACCCATTTGCCAGAGACCTTGTCTTGTAGTTGATGGAAAATTCCCACAAATTTTGCAAAAAAAACCCAAGCTAGATAACGGCAGATCGGTGGACCGGTCACGTGCACATCGCCTTACCCGCCACTTCTTGTGAAGCCCATTATCTTGCGTATAATCTGAATATGTTGTTTGTTATTGACAGAGGTAGGTAAAGGCAACTTCCTTGAAAGCCGTTATTTGGCAACTGCAAAAGTTCCGTATACGAATGAAAGTTAAAAGTGCACCATTAAATTGAAGTTTCCTTTGTCAATAATCATATAGAAAATATACAGGGTGAGTCAACGATTGCGCGGAGTAACTTAATGCCTTGAAGATAAGATTTTTTGTTAGAGTACTTTTGTATTATGATATGGTTGAATATTCTCCACACTTTAAAAATATTTGGAATTATACAGGGTGCGTCCACAAAGTAGGGCGCCAAAATGGTACATTTTTTAGCGCATTTTTGCAAAAATTTTTTTTGTAAAAAGTAGCTTTTAATCTCACTTTGGCTGACTGGCTGGCTGGCAGTAAATGCGCCCCCGTAGAAAAACGCTTGTAAAAAGACAAGGAGTGTACATGTAACTATCGGGGCCGTGTAATTAAGAACGTTAGGGATGGGGCTACAAGATTTGGAGTCGACGACATCTGGACGCCATCCCCGAGCGTATTATACTAACCTGGAGATTTTTCAGTTTTTATCTATCTTCTTCTACAGTTTTTCTCCGATTGTTTTCAAATTGGTGTCGTCGGGAAGATCTTGTCAACGCGCACAACTCCTGCGTGGCGGAATTTTGTTTTTTTTTCCTAGGGGCGAAATAAACCACCTTTTGCGCGGCGCGCTTCGAGGGGTAGTCGACTTTGGGCGCCCAAAAGTTTCTTACAGCGCGAATCGCGGTCTCTCTTTCTCGTGTCACTAATAGAAGGTCGAGCTATGTGAAGTACCCAAAAGTTGAATACGATTTTATGCCGGGATTTTAGCGAAATCTACCAAAATGTGAATTACGAATGAACGGGACGTCGGAACTGTGTATCGACAAAGGGAATGTGGTAACCCCCGACGAGATCTTACTGATGGTGGAGTCGAAACTTCAAATCCGAATTGTTGCGGGTGATCAGAAGTGGGTGTCGACAAAGGGAATATGGTAACCCCCGACGAGATCTTACTGATGGTGGAGTCAAAACTTCAAACGCGAATTGCGAGTGCACGGTAAGTGAGAAAATGGTACCGACAAAGTGAACGTGGTAGCTTTCGGCAAGATCTTATTGATGGTGAAGTCAATATTGGCTAATAAAACACTGATCTGCCACACAAAAATGCGCTGAAGTCCCTTCGATCTCACACGAGGACTTTGATCATTTTTTAAATAGAACTTCCCTGTATTTTAATGCATTTTTGAATTCTACGTGTAATTGTACGTCTTTTTTATTATATGGTTAATATCCGAAAAGCTAGTAGTTTTAAAGATAATTCGATTTTTAAGAAAAATTGGGCATTTGCAAGGGCCAGTATATTGTCAAAATTATTACTTAAATTTTGATTCCAGGTTTTATATCTGCAACTGGCCGTGCAATATACTAACACCTTATCGCGTAGTAATGCAGGTAATTTATTTATTCCCATCATCAATTTTCCTTTAAAAACCAAATAATTTATTTATTTAGTAATGATAATTAATATCCCCCGTAGTAGTAATTCACAACCTTAATAATAAATTGAACCCAGTTGGACGATTCTCATAATTTCATATTAAATTCAAATGGAAAAGTTTTAATTTCTGGATAGATCCACACATGCACAAATTATATTACTGTCTCTTCATGCCAGAAGGTGTCCGGTGGCCATTTGGTCCAGCAAGTATGCGTTGTCGTGTATGGGGTCCAGATTAATCAGGGTTTCTCCGTTAGGATGTCGTGGAAGTCGGAAACTTTCGAAGATCTGTTGGAGAGCGACCATGGGACTAGGCGATGGAGCTCGGCGATCCCAAGGGCGACGTCCCTCACACTGGCATCTATGTGTTGATTCCCCGTGTGCGTGTTGAAGTAGAATAATCTTCGTGTGGTCCCTCGTATCATTCGGTCGGTCTCCGAAAAAAGATCGGCGGTTGTCTTCGGGCTCTGCAAGCCGTACCTACATCATACTAGAAACAACGTACGTCCTCAGGAGCCCGGTTCGGATTCAGTGGAGCCCACTCCACATTGCTGAGCCATTGGCGAAGGTTGAATAGCGATTGTTTCGGTGCACCACCACTGCCGAATTGATGACCGAAGCGTCCCTAGGATTGGTATCAGCTGCCTCTAGATACTGAACATGGGCTTAATGCGGGGGACAGTCGCGTAATAACAAAAAAATACTGAACTTGACTGAGCTTGAATTATTGGGCCTATACAACCTACTAACCTTCGCCTGAATATCAACTAAGCCCGATTAAAAAACTATTGATCAATTATATTATTATAGCGATATCCCCTGGGTCGTTCAAACTCGAAGTGCCAAATGATCTACTAGGCTGATCCAAATGATTTAACAGGACAGTCGCTAGACAATCCTAGATCACGTTTGATGAATAGCGATTTAATTACTCCTGTTTAAAAACTTTCACTAATTGTTCGTATTTCACTTTTTTAAGCCGTAAATTATCGTTTGAATTTGAAGATCACCAAACTTAAACTTTACTCAAGTAATGTTTACAGGCCTCCACCCTCCAAAACTACTTGCTCACATACAAAATCGAAAAACCTGGCAGGAAGTGTGGACTTAAAACGGAGACGGAAACCACTCGAACGTTGCTCTGATTGCCGGGAAACGACACTGAGGAAACATAAAACCCACGTCATATTAAAATGCAATCTTCTACCCTGCACCATCTGAATCTGTAAACTGCCAAACTCCACCATTGGAAAACTGACATATCACTAGTATGTCATTAAAAAGATTTTAGCCATGTATTTTTCTTTATTCCATTCTCCTTTAAAATATTACTATGATCTATTTCCGCACGTTCAAAATAATTACACTATTGTTCGCATTTATCGTAATAGTTCCCAATTCGTGAGTTGTCTACTTTACATTGCTGATTCACTGCCAATTGCTGACTTACACCAATCAAACTCATTTTTTCTAGTCAATCCGGTTTCTTGACACACATAACTCAACTCCATGCGAAGTGGAATCCCGCTGAATCAGCAACTAACACACTATTTAGTAAGCTCGATAACTATGGATGGTACCTATAACGGAACATTTGGAGAAAATATTTGATAACATTTGCAAAAGTTTGTTATATGGGGTGTGACAGTAGTAATATATATGGCCGTTTCTAAATCGTTTCTAAATATACATGTGTAGTACAAAAAATCGTAATTTTTATGGACGTTGGCTTTCAACGTCTTGTGTGCAAGCGTACTATACTCAATTTTCGTTGCACCTCGAATACCTCCAGGTTTCATTATAATCTCTTGTATTTTCGTAAGCAAATCCTCAATTCTCTTGCAGTTTCGGCTCACATTTAGAAATGTTGTTGTTGTTGTGGTTGGTGCTGTTTTTGTCATCATAACGGATGCTCTTTTTGTATCAAGATGAATATTACAGCACTCTGTCCTATCCTTTATATACCACAAGGTTAGCTCAGGCGCAAACCTCGCTAGCGCAGTTCAGAACCACTCAATCCTAGTGACTTTTCTAGGGATTTTCATCTAGTGTGATTTAGAATCGGCCGTACGCTACCATCGACAAGAACCTTTGACTCAGGCGCAAACCGAATTACCTTAGGTTGGACGCGAACCTCCGATACTTTATCTCGAGCGCAAACCTCGACCCGACCTTGACGTTAGCACAGGCGCAAGCCGCGCTAGCGCAGTTCAACAGCGCAGTAAAACAGTTGTAAAAAAAAACAAAAAAACATTTTTTACATGTTCCATAATTTTACACTTTTGCCGTTGATTAACGATCCCAGAGATTGTATATAATTTTGTATTGCTGTCTGTCGTCTGTATGTTGGTCTGTCCGTCTGTTCCTTTGTCCGTCTGTATATCTATGTCCGTGTGAACGCTTTGTTTAGAAATGTCCGATCTGACCTCTCCGTTAGTTGTGAACTGAATTGCATGAAATTCAATATGGGCTAAGTAATATAACACGCAATTCCAAAAGTTGAGTCGAATCGATTACAAATTCACTAGTGCCCTTTTCGCATCTCGACCATTTATAAATCGAATTGCAAACTTATGTATTTATAAAAGCATTAAAATGAAATTTGATACATATGCGCTTGAAATAAAGGAAAATCTAACCAGTTTCAAAATTTGGTTTTGCGCACGCGCAGTGCCAGCTTCTTTATTTATGGAAGCATTTAAATGAAATTTGAAACATAGCCACTTTGAACAAAGGAAAATCTAACATTAGTTTCAAAATTTAGGTTTGCGCATGCGCAGTGCCAACTTTCTTATTTAGGAAAGCATTCAAATGAAATTCTTCTGAAATTAAAGTAGCACGTCAAGAATGGATTGCAAATTTGGATGGTTTAAAACGAGATAACGATATTTTTTCAAAAAGGAAACCTGGGCGTATCACTCCAACGAAACAAAAATCGATGCAGTCGTTGCATCTCCACCTCCTAAACAGAGAAAACATTTAGTGTCCAGTAAAAACAGTTTTCTGGAATTGGGAGGGGATTCTGTTGAGAGAAAAAACCTCTGCATTTTGCCCATAAGATGCCACTACTATATATTCCCCCAAGTTTAAAAAATACTCATGATGCCACAGATTTGCTTCTTATGATCACCTGAAAGTTATTGTTTGACTATTTTAAAGACCCACCAATAGAAGGTTGCTTATTACAGAGACAGCGGAATAAATGTGTAGAGGTTGACGGTACCTCGCAAAATAAATGTTGTTTCGCAACAACATTCTTTCATAACTAGGTAGATTATATAAAAATGTCCCCACTGAGTTTTTCTTTTAAAGTTTGTATATCACAACTGGCATTCATGGAGTAGTTTTCAGTAGACATTTGACTAGAACACCTTGCAAAGGAAAATTATGGGACAGGGAATTAACAGTAACAAAACCCTGTGTCTTTTTGACAATCCTTCAAATATTGAATGTAAGCCGACCCGCCCTCAATTATTGACAATCCGAGCAGTGCAAGCTGCACGTCTTTAAAATCCTGAGTATGGCATTAAGACTATCTGTACCATCAGAAAGAACTTTGACAGCTCACTAATTAGCTTCCATTGTACTTTTACATGTTTTGGCTTAGATTTAGCGAAAGCACTCATTTGCAAGGATCGGCGCTTTGTTCCGCATTAACTACCTTTTCCGAATTAATCTCGGATTCATTAGCGTCGTGTTTTACCCATTTTAGAAAATGCGCGCTCCACATACACGTTTAAAGTTTGCGATCTTGTTTTACTAATTAAAACGGTAAACCATATACATATGCAAGAAGGCAATTTACTTTCTACCGCAAAATTTTATACTTAATCCTTAGACGGATAGTAATTTCCCTCGTCATACTTCAAACCACCTTTCGGTCTTAATCATCGGCAAAATTATTTTTAGTCGATAGTCGGAAAAATGGCATATTATTGTTTTGTTTATGTCATCACAAAGCATGTGATTTCCGTACTGTACGGGAATCTTAATTCCTGTACAGTACGGGAAAATATCTATATTCTTGTGAGCATGAAAAAATAAAAGAACAGTTATACACGCAAATGAATAGTTTATTGCCTATTAATATGTACATTAATAGTACAATTATTGCAGGTTCCAATCAAATTTGATAGTCCAGTCAATGTCGACTCTACTTCATAATTAATTGAAGAAGTGGACTCCGTATTTGTTTTGGAGATGGTGCTAGTAGAGACGCCAACATTGCTTGCACCCTTACACTGAATATGTGCGCCAGAAATTGAAGTAACTATTCTCTCTGCCACATCCATTTTATTTTTTAAGGATTCTTCTATATATCCTTCCGCCACATTCGACGATTTCCAACCGCCGTGACGTTTTAAAACAGTCAAATCTGCACCATTATCTACCAAAATTGTCGCAGATGTCCTTCGAAAACAATGTCCCGTGTAAAGGTTTGCATCGGACAGTTTCAAAAAGTTAGCAACGATTTGTGGAATGCTGGCAAATGTATGCACCCCCACTACTTGCTTAAATCCTTTACCATTATGGTATTTGAAGAAAAACCTATTGCAGTGAAAATTGGATGGTCGAACGGCTGCATATTTACGGTATGTTTCTAAATAAGTGTCGTTTACTATAAACGACCGTGGTTTATTGGTTTTGTTGCATGGAATCTTCACCAGTAGTTGTGAACCCAAATCCTCAATGTCCGTAAGCTTTATGTTACATAACTCCTCTCGCCGACAGGCGCCATAAATTCCGAAAATTACCACAACCTAAAAAAATTAAATTATAATCTTCAGGCCTTTCAATTAAAATCTTACTTTAGCCATGAGGTAAGTATCATCTGGAGCGTTCATCATAAATTCTCGGATTTGTTCGTTGGTGAAGACTTTCGACTTCTTTGCTTTGTAACCCACGGATTGCTTTTTCAAATATGCTCGCAGTTTGTTATATGAAGTGATGTCTACATTTTGCTTTAACATAAGAGTGGCCTTCAACATGGAGTAATTTGCCCAAAGTGTTGAGGGTTTCATCTTTTTCGACAAATCAAGAAAATATCCGAGTACCACATTTTCCGAAAACGAATAAGTTCCTTTACTTGATCTATATTCCATAAAACGTTGATAAGCATTTTCATACTTCCCCTCGATTTAGTTGGCAACAGATTAAGAGTAGCTTCATTGACTGCCTCCAAAACTTCAGGTGGTGTTCCACAAAATAAATCTTCATCAAAATTACCATCGATATCCATTTTATATTAATATTGCACATCAACTAATTATAAATTCACTCAAACGAAAAAATTTTTGATTTGTTTACGTCATGTCCATGGTAACGTTCAAACAATGCATGCTCGGAAAACAAACTTGATGTTTGCATTTATTAATTACTGTAAATAAAAAAAAGGTGCCGCCCGGGTTCGATCCTCGCACCTATCGCATACAAGCCTAGACTAATGACATTAGACCAAATGACAATTGGTGAAAATTAAATTTAGTTTGAAATGGTATATTTGGTGTTTTAACTATTGGCTATCGACTAAAAAATAGTATGTACAACACGTAGGAAAAGTATATTCCTGGACTCTGATAGTTGTAAGCCTCGGCTAACGCCTCGGCTTACAATCACTATCATCGTCCAGGAATATGCAACTTTTCCTACTTGTCATACAATCTACTATTATTTCATACTATCTAGTAATCGCCGCTTTCCCAGACCCATTTGAGTCTGGTAAATCGTATTTTACCAGACTGAAAACTTTTACCAGACTGGAAATGCTGCCTAGCAACATCAACTGACATCCATATAAACCTAATATATTAATGTGTCAAACTACTGTCAGATCAAACAAATCAAGTGATCGCCTTTGCTTTCATTTGAATGCGTACAACATTCTAATCAAAAATTGTATGGCATTTTAATAGAAAAAAGAGCAGTATGAAATAAAATGTTTTACATTATTTGTATGTTAAATCAGTTAACGTTACTCGTTTCGAAATTCCTGCCTCAGCTACGCTTCGGCAGTAAACATCTCACAACAATAATCAAATTAATTTTGCCAGCCAGATATTTATTTGTTTTAAGAAGTTATTTTGTCATATAAAAGTAGACATAGGGAAAAACAATACACGTAAATCCCTATGTCTACTTCTTAATAAATATTAATGTATACCTAAGGTCCAATGAGCCAGGGTATCAATTCTTTGCTTTAGGATGACGAACTAAAAGTAAACTGGCGCAATTCGAACAGCGCAGTTTGAGGAGTCTATAGATAGCGAAAACTAAACGTAGTTTCATTTATTTACATCGCTCCACAGAGCCAAGCGACTAGTCAAACAGCGCAATCGCCCATGCAGTTCAAAATATAATTATTTTTTCGAGATTGATTCGGATTTGGACTACCAGCGGAATTAGTGTCTCCGAAATTAAATTTTCCTGAGATATGCGAAAATTATTACGCGAATATATTGAGTTTTACCGTTGAAAACTTAATTAATCAATAGATAAAGTTGATTTAAACGCCTGTATTAAAAAAAATTAATAAAAAGTAAGGTGTAAAGAAAACTCGATAAACTACGCCCAGAAGACAGCGATTTACCAAAGAATCTATCTAAAAAGTTTACCAACGGAAAGTTCCAATATACAGCTCGAATTGTTTAATTTTTTCAAATTATTACCCTTCTCCAGCCTATTTTTATATCGTTATTTGCAGAAGGAAATCTTTTATATGAGGTACCGTTATTTGATTTATGTAAAAATTAAAGGTTGATAGAAAAATTTTTTTTTAGTTTTTCATTAAAGTTGTTTTAATTTGAGTGCAAGGAGTTCATTATGCACGCATTGCCTTATAGACAGCAAGACGAGGGTTGGCAGATATGCATCGCGGTTTCGAAAATGGGGTTTTATCTCTTGGTAAATATTAATACATCCCCTTTGAGTATTTCCAAAATAGACAGGTCCAAACAGGTCTGCACGTCTAAAAATCTATAGACACTATCAAATGATCAGTTTTGGTGGAATTGGGTGCGGGGTAGGGGAGAATGAGGAGAATTTACCGCACATTACACACTCTAGTTACAAAGAACGTAATAATAAATATGGTAGGTAACAGAAAGGATACACATTTATTTAAATAATTTACCTTTGGATTCATCCGGTCCCCAACCGTCCATAGACTGAGGTTGTGCCTTATGGATAATCCGCAAATGAACGCGCTCATATCAATCTACCATTGAAATATTGATCTCACAACAATTCTCATATCGTAAAAAGCGGAAGATCTTAATGTTGAATCAGAGGTTTGGTTATGTCCTTCCTTGTTGATCTTGGGAGCAATAATGACTATTGCTCCCAATAAAAGAGATGTAATTCGTGCTGCCGTAAAAACTAACATGACGGTCGATCGATGAAATTCCATCAATGCGTATAGGCACTAAAAAATATGTTGCAACAAAATAAAAGTAGAATTTATCGAGAATAATGCATAATGTATACAAAAAAATCGTAACTGTTCTAAACACTCGCATTAAAGAAACTATACGTCTTAGAAACGCATCAAGCGGATATACTCGATATAAAATAAATTTTACCGCAATGTAGTAAAACCGAAGGAAATTTCCTCCATATGGTCAAAAGTTTTTTTTACGCAGTAATAATGACGCAGTAAATCTATTCACAAATGGCAGATTCAATTCCGGCGTTGAAGAGGATGATATAATTCTCTTATAAAGCCAGATTGCACCCCGAACTAGATTTACTACTTCTATTCTTTGTCATTTTCCTTTGTAACGTCTTCAGCTATAATGGACAACGTTATTACAGGGAACAATAAGTAGGAAGTATTTATGTCTAGAGCTCCGTTATCGTGTTCTTATGGCCATGCAGCGTGCGTATTTCTGCGCGAACTTTGCCTATTGTGTCTAAGGATGGGAAACAATATTCTAACGCGTAAGGATTTAGTGAATTTTACGCGTACTGACATAATCTCCTTTCTAAAATTAATGATTTGCAAACGTTGTTTGAAGAGCTTAGCAGCTTTGTCACTTTAATAAAATTTCCACCATTAAAATCCTGCCACTCACTCTTGTTTTCGGCCGGCAACGTTCGCGCAAACGACAGAATAATCCCCGAACCCTTTCCGTTTACGGACGGGGTAAAAAAATCGGACCCCGAATGAAAAATGTACGATATTTATAACTGTAGTCATCAGTTAAAACCCGTACAAAGGTTTAAGCTTTCGCGTTTCAATAACAGGAAATTAGATACCGTTCTGCGGGAAATACGCCCGGGTTCCGCATTATTTTTTTTCGGCCTATTCAAACCGCCAATATAGAAATTTGTTATATACCCTTAACTGGAGCAGGAAATCAATTTTTCGGGAGTTATCGAGCCGTGCACTTAAAATGGGAAGTCGTTTAGCTTATACCTACTTTTGGATATTGAATGGCTTTTTATATCTTATGTGTTGCGTTATTATTTTGTAATAAAACATTACCTAATCGAAACACATAGGTCGATGTGCTGACAACGCAGGCACGGCATTTTTCATTGGCAGATATCCTTGTCCAGACCTTCCACTTTACCTTGTTCGGACAATTGGTTTGCCGTTGAATGTAGTGACTGTGCTCAAACATTTATTTCGCAACCTCCCTTCGGAGATGTGTTCACTTATTTTTCAAATAATCGCGATGTGTAGGATTGAAGATGTTGTTCTCCACGTTGTACACCAATAATTCTCATTTTACTTACCGACTTGTTAGCTTGTAGTTGCTCCTTAGGCTATTAACTCGTTGTATAAAACTTGTGCTCAAATAAAGCGCCAAATTTAAATATCTCTTCAAGATCAAAAAGTGATACGTTACCTGAATTATACCTTGAAATCAATCAACACTGTCAACCGTAGGTAATAACATCGTCTGCTTTGTTTATGATGCCAATGTTATAGGTTACAATTCAAGTAAATAAACAATTTAATGCAAATTTCGAATCCTAATTGAAAAATCTAGCGTAAATTAATACACAATTTGAATGAATGGTCCAATGATAAATTCAGCTATAATGTCCCCAAAGTCTTACGCGCAAACAATATAAACGATTGTTCAGAGAAACGTAACCACAATTCAGTTTATTAAATACGTAGAATGCAAAAGACTTACCTTTATCTTGAACCGGCCGGTATGAAGCCACACAGGAACATGCAGGTAATACGACCCAGGTTTCCAACAATTACGGAAAAATAGAACGACGAAAGTATATGGCTGCTTCGCTGCTTGAAGTACGTGGAACAATATTTAGTAGTTTTTTCACTAAATATTAATATGAGCATTTGACATTATTACAAATTGTAAAAGATGTTGTTTAATAAAGGTTGATTTAAGAAATATTTTAAGTAATTAACTCATGTTAAGTTAGCAATAACCGACCAGCAATAGATTTTGCACATCTTAATATATAACATTCTTCTGTACGTGTGTTGTGACTGAACTCCAAAACGACTTGACGGATTTTGATGAAATTATGTGCCTCTGTGTGTCCCCGGTTTAGATTCACAATCGATTTTGTTCGTGCGTGGTTCCGTGCCGAGCGGATGGAGGGGAAGGGGATTAATATTGATTTTTGCACTGTATGCATTATCTTACACAGCTTATTTTATAGTTGTATGTATGTCTGGGTGCTCATGTAAGTGTTGATGGTGTCAGCTGCAGGGGGGTGTCGTTTCTCTATGTCGAAATGATGCCGAAGATGAGAGCGAGCCACCCTGTAGTGAAAATGTATGGGTTGTCAACGTAATTTCCGGTTGACGCATAGCAGTCGCGACTTGCTGTATGTAAAATGTTTCAATTTATTTGATAGGACCTGGGGGGAATTTTTTTTAAAAAAAGACAGAATTGGAAGATTTGTTAATTTTTTGTCACTTTAATGTTAGTTTTTGTTATTATAAATTTAAAAATTGCTGAAGGGAGTTAATTGCATTTGTTGTATTTACTTAGTGAGTATTATACATCTTAGAACGCATAAATAAGGGAATATTTAATCGTAATTTTGCGTAAGATAAGTTTTATTTGTCCAGATGTTTTGTAGATGGCGTTATCGGACAAATTAATTCACTTTATTTTACTAAAGCGTGGTTTACAATATTGTAACAATTTATCGTAACGATCGAATTGTTACGATCTATCGTCGCATGTGAACGGATGATTGTAGCGATTTATTGGAATTGGTTTGGATGGTTGATGCCGGCTGGCATCAATTTCTGCGAATCGTTGAAACTTAAACAACTCAACATTCATTCTTAAATAAGTCGGTCAGTTATTGTATGGGTTAAATGCAACAACTGGCGGATCCTTTTTCTTTTTTGTATTCCCGACTTTTCAATTCAATCGCTAAACAAGCGATATAAACAGACCACAACAGTAGTTCCTCCATGGCGAAAACCGTTTTACGAAAACTGTGCTAAACCGTGATCGACAATGAAATTGAAACAAGAAATCGTTACATGTAAACAGTACTCTTGCGATTTATTGGAAGAATAAATTGGACAATCAAATGTTACGATTGATCGTAGCGTGTAAACTAAGCGTAACAACGCCACGTGTATGATAATGAAGGCAGGTGTTTATCAATATGGGCGACGAAGCCGTGTTTCGAGAATCGCCGAGAACGGATGAGTGGAGGTGGCTTGATCTGTAAGTAGGAAGAATGGGAAATAAATCTGCTGTTTGCGCGTCGACTAAAAAAGCTTATGTCAGGGTTGCGTTAAATTATTACGGACAGGTTTCGCCGATTACAAAAGTTTTACGCTTGCCCGTCTATAATTTTTAGGACAAAGTCATTTTCTAATGTTGTTAATTATTGGTTGACCACATTCAACAAGTTATCGGATTATCCAAGTTATGTGTTAAGCAAAAGTGAGTTAAAAGCTGTCAGCGCTATGTAAAGATTTGTCGTTTAGCGTATTCCCATTGCCGATACCAGATAATTTATTAATTTGACTAATGTGTGAGTAGTTATTTTTTTTTTATATCTCTTCAACTGTTTTTTTATTTGTTCGTTTTGTAAACCGGTTGTACGTGTTCAAAAAGGTTGATGTTGTTTTTGTTTAAATAGTCGCTTTGTTTATTTTGTTTACTTTATTGTAATGTTGAAGTAGGTGTAAAAAGTTAAAGTTTATCTGTAAATAATTGCATTGTGTTATTCCAAAGTTTATCTCCGGTCATTGCGATAAGAGATTTTTTAATCGCTGTGTAAAGTTAAGTTTGAAGATAAGCAGGTTTCACCGTTGAGAAATCCCAGATCTGTCTATTCTGGCAGTGGGATTTTGCACACTTTTTAACCATTTTAAGCTGCAATGATCCGTGGCAAGTGGATACCCTTCTAGGTAACGCTTCAGTTTCTCCACCGCCCAGACGACTGCAAAGCATTCCTGTTCAATCGTGGAGTAGTTTTTTTTTGCAGGGTTTAGTGCTCTACTTACATAAGCGATGACTTCTCTTTTCCTTCGTGTTGTTGGATTAATACTGCCCCTAATCCGGTAGAACTAGCAATGGTTTGTAGACTAAATTTATGGTAGAAATCAGGATTGGTGTTGTGGCACATTTTGCTTTTAATTTCTGAAAGTTGTCTGTTGCTCTGGATCCCAATTAAACTTCACGCCCTTTTTTAGGAGACTGATCAGGGGGTAGATCAACTGAGAGAATTGAGTGATGAATGTCCTGTACCGCGTTGCCATTCCGAAGAATCTTCGGAGTGCTTTTACCGTTCGTGTTGGTTCCATCTTTACTCTAGCCTCCACTTTTCTGGGTCTGGATTTATATCGTCCCAACCCACCCAAGTACTCCAGCTCTGTCTTATCAAACATGCATTTATCTTCCGGTAATTGAAGCCCATGGCTTCCTAGAGGTCGTAACACTTCCTGCAAATTAATTAAATTGTCTTCAGATGTCTTATAAATGACAATGATATCGTGAAGATAAGCAAATACCTTTTTGTCCATTTCTGGTCCTAAAATTCTGTCCTAAAGTCTCTGGAATGCAGAATGCAGTCCAAATGGTAAGACTTTGAACTGGAATAATTCCCTGCCAGGAATCGAAAAAGAAATAAAATGTTGACGTTACCACTTGTAGCTTCTTACTTTGATCGTTTCCCCACGGTAATCTGGAAATTTGAGATGCTGCAACTCCATTAAACTTTTTTTTTAATTATCTTTTTGATAGCGTAAACCAATATTCGCTTTTCTTAAGGAACTTTTGGACCCATTAAATACGTCTTTCTCTTTTACTTGGAAAAGGGATTGAAGCGTACGATGTTTTTCTAAAATACAAACGTAAACTGCTTATAATATCTACACAAATATTTATATAATATAAAATAATCTTTGCACAGTTGACATAAACTCCTACATTCAACCATTGAACTTACTGTGTTGGATTATGTCGTAGATGAAGTTCCGAATTGCTGCATGTGTGAAACCATCAACATCGCTAACGGGTTTCTTACATTAATTTGTTTTTTAGGATCTTCTAGAGGTTTGCCCGATTTCGAAATTTGTGAAAGAGAAGTCACTGTTCGCAGGCTAATATTTAATGCATCCGCAATTCTCTGTGTAATGAAACTTGTTACGTATACGAATTCTTATATTACTAAAGTACTCTTACTGCTGCGCCTGGTAAAAGTGGACCACCATTATCTCTTTCTCGTCCAAAATAACGACTAAGATTAGAAATAAGTGCTTACTGTGTCTTGGTAAATCCGATGGCATTTTTGGGTTATGTAACTTTTGGCACGGTGAGACTGACGGAAGTTATGCTTCTATAATTTTTCGTCATTTAAGTAACGGATTTTGTATGCCTCGAAGTGCTAGCTAGCTGATTACTCTAACATAAAAAAGTAATTCCAATGCTTACTGCAGTTTAAAATGATTTTTTTTTATTCATACGTTGGCATTACAATAATATTCCCCAAAAACAGAATTCTACTGAAGTGTTATCGTATAATATTTAAATGTGGCTAATTGTAATTCTTGTACTAAAATTAAAAAGTACGACAAGAAGAAAAGCAGGTACTCAAAAGCGCAGAGAAGTTGAGCAGTATAGTGGTAGGCAATATGAAGTCCCCAAAAATCGAACCCGGAACAAAGAAATCAATTTAGAAATACAACATTTTCTTTTCAGGAAGAAGTTGTTAATATGTAGCCACTCTGTTAGTAAACATAGCGTACACATGACGCTTCCTTTCGGCCCCAGCAGAGCGGTAAATACAAGAGCTTAGGGGAAAGTAAGTTGTCACGGTGGTTCTATTTATTAGGAGTGTATATGAGCGGCATTACGTGATTTTGTACTTTCCTCTTATTACAATTACATTCGCAAGGGGTGAACTGTTAGCATAAATCGCGCCCTCCATCTCTCACCGTTTTTTTTTGGAGTTTCTCGCTCACATTATCGCGATCGTAATGAATTTAATAATGATGTGAATTGAATTAGTGGAGATTACTTGCGATGGAGAACGTTAAGTAAATCCATGCTAACGAGGGTAATTTAAGGTAGAACAACCGCATGTAACCCTTTAGCGGTTGGCTTCCATAGAACCCTTACAGAATTTCAATAATTACAACCCATTAATTAACGTAACATGGAATTCGGAATATCTGGTACTGTTTACTTCCCATCCATTCGCTAGCAAATATTTGTGGCAACTAGTAATAATGAAGCCCGGGGCGGAACTTAAAACGTATTTTAAATTAAGAATGGCTTCCGCTACGTTTACGCTTAATTATAAGATTCTAAACCGCTTTCCTGAACAAGAAAGGATTTTTAAATATATTATTTTCCTAATCGCTTTAAGCGTAGATTATTACACTTCATAATTCTAAACTGTTATTTGAAAGTAAAGGCTTAATAGCTTCCATACTTTCGGAACAGTTGAGTGAGTTCTCGACCCTTTGGTCAACCACACTGTAAGGGCATTAAAGGGTAATGAATATAAATGTACTAACTAACCCCGGTGCAACTCTTCTTACCCCCTTATACACAAGGGTGGGAAAACCGAAATATATTTCGACGCGTTCTAATCTAAGGTAAGTATAAGCGAAACAATATTTATGTTCGGGCTGATACCCGCGCGCGGAGTTATCAATTACTACCGGAATTAGCGTCGCGACGACGACGACGACGGTGCTTCGTGACTATCATTAGCCGAAATTTCTCAGGAGCGTATAAGTTTGTTACAAACAATGACTCAGTTGCTAAGTGAGCAATTGACAAACAGTGATTGTGACAAGCGAGGGAGGTATTGGATTTATCTGTGGTCTGAGTCTGCAGGGGACAGATTATTTAGATAGATTGATGCGATCAGAATTATTTATATTCGAACCCCGTACCCATTTGTTTATGTTATTTACGAACTACGTTCCCCACGCGCGACGCATTATTGTTATTGCTACATATTTCACCATTCTCCTAATAGTAAGAATAAATATCATATTCAATAAACGACAGTATACCAGTTAGTATCATTTGTTTTCGTCAATGTTTGTTGGTTTTTTCGGCTAACGCCACTTTTATCTATGTCTACACAAGTAAGATCATTATGTACCACTTTTCTTGAGAATATGTTCAAACGTAGTCCCTTAATGCCCAAGGAGTAAATTTCAGATTTGCAGAGTATCCCAGATCCAGTGGCATTGCATGGTAACTTTGTTGAAGATAGAGATTAAGTGAAATGAACAACATTTTGCGGGTCCAATTAAAATTTATTTTACAAAAAAAGGGAAAGCCTCAATGTACAGGGTGGCCAACTAACAATGCAAGGTACTGTATCTGAGAATCTATCCATCGTAGAGGCTTGCGGTAAAAAAATTTATTACTAAAACGGCCACGAGCAAAACCTTGAAAATATTTTTAAGTTTCTGAAATGACCGCTAGGGGGCGTAACTGCAATCTAGAATCTAAAAAATTGATGTTTCTGTGAATTGCGCTATATTAACCTAAGAAAAAATGTCCGGTCTTTGAAGTTCACGATAATCTGAACAATTTTTGTTTGACAATTTTTCCTGTATCCCTAAAAATGAAGTGGTGGGGGGATATTCAAAGGTTTCCGTAAAGAACACCCTGTTTCTTCGAAACAGTTTTTTTTGTTAGGTTAATATAGCGGAGTTCACAGAAACATCACTTTTTTAGATTCAAGATTGCAGTTACGCCCTCTAGCGGCCATTGCAGAAACTTTAAAATATTTTCCAGGTTTTTCTCGTGGCCGTTTCAGTAATAAATTTTTTGACCGCAAGCCTCTACGATGGACAGGTTCTCAGATACAGTACCTCGAATTCTTATTTGGCCACCCTGTACAATATAAAAATGAACTTAGAGATGGCGGTTACTGACATACAAATATCAACTTTGTTGTGTTAAATGGGAACCATATTAGAACAAACTTTCAAATTTATACATTTTTCATAACTTTTATACTGTTATATGTTATATTAGTGTATGTATATTTAATATTATAATTTTTTTAAAAATAAATTGTAATCGGATGTGGTTTTCAGCGCATTTTCCAACTCATGTTGAAAGGCGCTATTATAAGCTCTTTTTCCGTCCGTCCGACCGAGGTCTTAACTACTCCTACAGCTTTCAAGATATTTCTTTCATTTTTTTTTGCATTCGGTAGCTAATAGCTCTGGCACCTTAGCCAAGACAAATTGTTGACCAATAATGTGCGCATGCGCAGACTGCGCAATGTCAACTTTCTTATTTATAGAGGTATTTTTATTTGAAAGATTCTTCTAGCCAACATATCGCATATTTTAAACATCAGGTGTGCGCATGCACACATTTCCCTTTTTACACATAAAAAGTCCGTTATAGGACATTTCGGCAAGTACTTTGTGGAAAATGCGCTACAGTTCTTTATCTTAAGGCGAAAACCTTATTTCAACTTTATGTGGATTAAATGGATTAAAAATGTACTGTGATTTTTGTGTTTTATTATCACTCAAAAAACCGTAAATTTCAAGTAGTGAATTAAGTTTCCTATTTTTTATATGTATTTCAACGAGACGGGGAAAAAGTTCTTTGGTTTTTTTATTTATTGAATTATTTATTATCAGATTAACGTTTCAGGTTATGAACCTACTCCCATTTAAGTTTACCAATGTATATATTAAAATTTCAACGGAGTTAGGTTAAGGTTATTATAAATCTGAGGTTAGTTTAACTGTAAAAGTGATCACTGTGGGAGGCATTGCAATATTACCTTCTCTCTTTATTACCCTACCGAATCCTCAGAATTTGGAGTAAATTTTATTTAATTAATATGTCACCCCAAATCATGACAATGACAATATATTCAGTCCCACTCGTGATGACACCACCAACTCTCCATTTTTTGTACCAGATTTTATCGGCTTTATAGGTCATTTTATGTTTCCCGGTAAGTGTGAATTTGGATGGGGTGAATTTATACTCACTTCTTTTTCGTCGATTGAGCCCTGAACTTTCGGTCTACTACGAACGCGCGGGTGTGCTCAAGAACGATTGGCCACGGAAACGTGAACTGGTATTAAGGATTGAAATGGTTTAAATTTCATATAATTTGGGTTAGCGACTCGCATATTTCACCAACTTAATTCCAATTTCAAGTAATTGACGTTAGCCGGTCGCATAACTTGCGCACCGTAAATTTTAATGAAGTCAAGTCTCCAAATTATGCCCCCAGGTCGTTGTATTAATATATTTAATTCGAGGCAATTAGACCACACGCAAGTTCCTTGAATAATAAAGGCTACGCACAAATTATGTATTGAATTCGATTAATGAATGTGAAATGAAAAGAAATTACAAATTACATTTAAGTACTCTTATGGTGAATTTGAACTTAATATAATTAAGAAATACCTGACACATTTCTACCAACTTTACGATGGAGTTTCATTGACTCAGCCAATACTGTTTTCTTACAAAAACTGGTTTAATTAGGAACTGTACGCATTTAACTAATATCGAGCATCTAAAAAGAGTTCGACTACGAATTTACAAAGGGTTCCGATTTTAAAATCTTGTTGAAGTTATTGCTTATTTATTAAGCTGGACCACGTGAGTACCAGTCGCATTAAATTAAATGGTAGGCCGGACAATCTTAAATTGTTTACGTATTATAAATATTGAAGTGTACAGGGTGAGTCAATGATTGCGCGGGGTAACTTAATCCCTTGAAGATAAGATTTTTCGATAGAGTGCTTTTGTATGATGATATGGTTGAATATTCTCCACATTTTAAACATATTTGGAATTATACAGG